ACTGGCGCCAAAACAAACTGGGTTTGGATCCGCCGACAACATGTTCTCACTTGGCATGCTGACAAGAAAGATGAATACAATTTCCACCGCACTCCGGATTTGGTGCCATGGAACCCTGACACATGCCTGTGGAAATGTCCTTTGTGTCCTCAGGGTCTGTCAAACAAGGTCAGTGACAAAGACCTTCAGTGGCGTATGCGCATAGCACATGCCAAACGATGTCACCCCAGCGCCAATCGCAAGCAGTTTTTGTGTGCTGGCAACAAAGCGCGTCAAGCCAACGCACGCAAGGCCACTGTCGTCAAGACATCTGCTGGTATTGCCAGCAAGCTCGTCGCTCTCAAGGCTGGCGAGCAAGGAGATCATGACTGTGAGATCATGCACTTACTGTACGATGCCTGGACAACACCAAAGTTGTCCGACGAACCATGAACTACATTTTCTGCAAGAAGTGCAAAGGTTTGGCTGCCACGGCCAAGCGCCTGGCCAAGTTTCGATGCGATGGTGTACTCAAGGGAGGTCCAAAGCAAGAAAATTTTCTTCGTCGTTTGAATGCTTTCGCTCATGGCCTTCCCAAAGGATCGAACGACAAGAAGCAAATTCTTCAGGCAATTGCGAAACTGGCGCCTCCTCCCGAACATCATGTTCGAACATCATGTTCGACGGCCAAGCAGTCACTCCATTGTCAAACTCGACCTGCCTCTTCAGCCGCCTCGCCAGCTGACTTTCTGTGTTTCTTGCAGACGAGTCAATTTTGGGAAGGGTGCAATGATGAAAAAGCACCAGTGCAGTAATATGGCAGTTTGGAGCACTTCCAGGCTGCGGGTGTTAAAGCTGATCGAGAAAGCAGCAAAGAAAGCAAAAGGAAAACGTTTGACAGCGTTGAGTGAGCTCTCAGATGTGCTCACAGGGAAGGCGCAGCCGCCAAAGGCTAAATGATGAGCCAGCCGGCGGAGCAAACAGCAGGACAGCAGGTTCCTGCAAGGGGTTCTGTTTTGATCATAGCAACGCTTAACGTGTGCACCCTCAAAGGCCGCATGCCTGAAGTTTTGCAACTTGCCAGTAGCTATGCCTTAGATATCCTCTGCCTGCAAGAGGTCCGACTTACTGAAAACAACATGCTCGCTGTCGCTGCCATTCATACCGCCAAAAAGAGTGGGTGGCATTTTCTGCCTGGGCCATGTGCGCTTGATAGCGCCGGCATGCCAACTGCAGGTGTCGCTTTTTTGAGCAGATGGCCGCTTGACAAATTTATTTTTGACAGTTTGCCAGTTGAAATGCAATTCCAGCAAGGTAGATGGCTGACTGTGCGCGTGCATCGGCCTGGCGCGCGCCCTTTCTTTTGTACAAACGTTTACTTGCACGCCAGCGGCAAGACTGAGAAGCGATGTTTAGCCGAGAAGCTTTTTGAGGCCATTGCCACTAGAGGTGATGAAGTTTTGTTCATTGGTGACTGGAATTGCACGCCTGAGGAGCAACCAGTTAGCAATGTGCTCCGAAATGGGCAATTGCACTTAGCGGATGATATTGCCGGTGCCGAGGTTGCTGCCATCCCCACACGTGCAGGCGGCCGACACATTGATTTTGCCTTGTATTCTGTGGGTTTGGTGCCCTGTGCAAGAAGCCAGGCTAGAGGTTTGGCTGACCATGATTTGGTGATGTACGAATTTGCTGTTTCTGACATTGAACCATTCTTCCGTGTACAGCGTCCTTTGCGCCTTGCAGCTGAGTCTCCGGTAAAAGATGAGGTGTGGAGCCAATCCTTCCCGGATAAACAGTTTGAGGAAATGCTTAGTTGTTTCGACGTCCAACAAGCGTGGAACTTACTAAGTGATTGTGCGGAGTCAGTCTTGCAGCCTCAGCCCGGCCGCAAGCGTAGTAAAATTCCTTCACCTACCCAGTGCTGTTTGGCACCGACCAAAGTTGAACGCGTGCAAAGTGTTCTGGAAAGACGCGCTCGTCGAACTCTTAGGCGGCTATGTGAAATGCAGAAGCCTTGTTCTCCTTGGTGCCTCGTGCGCAAAATCCGTTGTGATCTTGTGTATTTGCAGAAGCATTTCCCTGAGCTTTCTGAGCTCCATGAGTTGGACCCATGCATGCAAGAAGCCTTGAAGCGATGCATTCAGCAGGAAGTTGCTGCTAGTCAAGAAGCCAGGTTGAAAGCTGGCGCAAGCGCATGAATGAAGATGAGGCCTCTCTTATTAGGTGGGTCAAAGGTGCTGACCAAAGTAGCTCTTTCGCTACCGACGATCCTCAAGTGCCAGTGCACCCGCAAAGCAAAGCAGATTTTTTTGCAGATTTTTGGAGCAAGATTTGGTGCCCGCCAAATGGGGTACCTATTCCCGACCTGACGCCTTTTCTTGACTGGGCTCCACCCGACGGATTTGCCTGCCCTGCTATTGACATCTCTGCTCAGAATTTGATTTGTCAAGCAAAGCGAGCCGTTGGTAAAGCGTCTGGGCCAGATGGATGGAGTGGGCACGAGTGGAGCCTCTTGCCTCACGGGTTCTTTGCAGCCTTAGCGCAACTATGGAATGCAGTTCTGCAGTGTGGCGCGCTCCCTGAGCAGTGGCATGTTGTCCGTTGTGTGCTCATTCCCAAAGAGGTTGGCCTTCGTCCAATCAGCATTGCTTCATTAGCTTGGAGAGTCGGTCTTGGAGTTGTTGCCCAACAGCTGTCGCCTTGGATTGATGCCTGGGGTCCGCAAGAGTTAGTGGGTGGCCTCAAAGCGCGATGTGCAGCTTCCGCACATGAGGATTTGCATGCTGCCCTGCAATGGCCGCGTCTTTTCGGTGCTAAGATCGACATTGCCAAGTGTTTTGATCATGTCACTGTTTCCCAAGCTTTGGATGTGTGGAGAAGGTTGGGTGCCCCAACATCAGTCCTCAAGGTTCTTCAAGCATTTTACCAGAACCAGCTCAAGACCATGGAGTGGCAAGGTTTCTCTGCCCGGCAAAACATTCGTTGCGCCAGAGGCCTTTTGCAAGGTTGTCCTTTAAGCTGCGCCCTGCTTGCCGGGCTTATGACTGTGTGGTACTGCAGGCGCATCAAGCATTGCGTTCCAGATGTTTGCGTGTCTGTTTTCATTGACGACAGAACTTTGTGGACCTCAGACCATAAGGAGCTACAACGTGCCTTGGAAGTGTCTGCCGAAGTTGAAGATGTGCTAGGCCTTCCTTTGAACCACAAGAAATGTGAGCTGTTTTGCAAAAATAGAGGCGCCCAGCTGGCCAGCCTCATGGCTTGGAACCAGGCTTCTGGTCGGCAGTGGAAAGTTTGCAAGCAGTTCAAGCTGCTAGGGATTCACTATTCCACAACCAAAGGACACGCCCCATTGGAACGGCAACTTGCTAGAAAGGTAACAGCTCGCCTTCAGCGTCTCAGACTGGCAACTCGGAACCAAAAGCATAAACGCAAATTGGTTCGCAGTTTGGTCTTGTCTTTGTTTGCTCACATCGGGCCATGGACAACTGTGCCCAAAAAGTTTTTGCACCAATGGCGCTTGGCCATTGAAAGCACAGTCGTAGGGTATGTGGCAACCGGCCGCTCGCGTTTTTTGGTGTGGGCTGGGCTGCTGGGACCACATCTGGATCCCGATTTTGCTCTTGATTCCAGGGTTTTGTGGCATGAACTTTGGAAGATTCGTCGTGCATTAACTTCTTGTGCTCAGATGTCAAACTTTTGTGATTTCATCGCCGAGGAGCATGTTTCTCCTGCTTCCAGGAGACTCGAGGATGTTTTGGCGAAGTGGGGGTGGAAACGGGTTTCTGTGACAAAGTTCCGCACACCCTTTGGCACTTTGGACTTAGCTTTTGACGGTGAGAATGCCATCAAGACAGCAATGAAATTAGCTTGGGAATATCAGCTTTGGCTCGCCGAGCCAAGAGCTGATGCAAATCACCAAGACGGCTTGTTTCCTACCTTTCAAGGTCACTCCAAACTGCTCAAAACTGTTTGTATCGGTGATCCCGAATTGTTTTCTGTCGCGCTGGGGGCAGGAAAAGATAGCCGCGTTTTGGCCAAACACTTTGAGCTGCGCAATGTTGTGTGCACGTGTGGTCGTGAGTGGCCGTCTCGTACACATGTAACATGGCACTGCCCAAACCATACAGTTGACCTGCCTGAAGTCGCTAGGCCCAGTACAGTGTCCGAAGAGCGCTTGCTCATTGACCGTGATCCAAGTTTCCTGCAGCCCCACGCAGGCTTGTGTGAGTTATTCTCCAGTGGTGAGACCTTCCCTGATGGCATTCTTTTGGTGGCTACTGATGGAAGCTCTCGCTCAGTTGGTCCTGTTCGGTGTGCAGCGTGGGCTGTTGCCACGCAAGAAGGCGTTCAAGCAGAACGCTCGACAGGTATGAATCAGCACATTTTTTCGGCTGAGAGTTTGGCTGTTTTGTGTGCCTTCGTTGCTGCCAACCGTGTGCAAAAGAAGCTTTTGCTACTTTGTGACAACCTGAATGTGGTCAGCAGACATGCTTCCTGGACGCCCTGTCGTCCTGGACATACTGCAGACATGTGGCGTCTCCTCAATCGTTTTGCTGATGAGAGAGCTCAGAAGTTGACTGACTTGTGCACACAAGAAATTCAACACTGGAAAGCTGATTTTGATGCTGCAATGGCCTGGTCCAAAGCAGCTCTTCTCAGACAATTTGCTGCTCTCAAGGGTCTGCGGGCCCGTATGGCAGCTCAGCAACCGGTTTCGGCTTGAATGTTTTGCTCCATGACTGGCCTCCAGGGCTGGATGGTTTTTGTTTTGTGCACCATTGCTCTTTCGTTCTGAAAGATCGGTTTGGAATATCAAGATGCCTTGTGGACATCATCTATGGCGAGTTATGACTTTGGTTTTGGCGCTTTGCGCCCGGAAAGCTGCCTCTAGCCACCTCCTGGCCTTCGTGGGGCCCAGGCTGTGTGCAGCATAGTAAAATTACACACACACATATACAAAGTAAAAATGCGAACAAGGTGTTGGATCGGGAACAAAATTTCTTCCTCGAAAATAATCAAGGCGTCTGTCTCTGGCAAGCTGTCTCCTGGGCCTGCATGATTGCAGCAGTCAACCGAAAAGGTTCCTTCGGCAGCTGTGCCTTGGCACGTTCCTTCGCCTCATGCAAACAGTTTTCAGAAATCGGTCGGCCGGGCTCCAGCCAATGCTTTTCAGGAGCTCGGCAAGAGTTGGCCTTCTGGAAAGCTGGGCTTTCAAGGCCACCGGGTAGGCGACTTTTGCTGCGGCCTGCTGCAATGCCAAACCAGCCTTCCTTGTAATAAGAACAATCTTGAAATTCCATCTCTAACATGTAAGCGTCCACTTCGTGAACGCGATGAAAAAAGGCATTATCCGGGATTCTGCATCCATGCTATTCCCATACAGATGCCTCAGGCTCTTGGGAAGCCTTGGGCGCGGCAGCTGATTCCCTAAAACTATCTCTTCCGCATGCAGCTTGGCAGCGTGAACAATCTTCACCGGCATTTGCTCCACCTTCTGCACCAGCGGCTCTAAGGCCGCTTTGACTTGTTCTTGGTCTGCCTGCGCTAACTGACCCCAATGCCGCCGAATACCAAATCGTAAATCTTCGTCTGTTTTCCTGTTGTGACCACTGAATAGCTGCTCCACGTTGCTGGCGCCAAGCATCTTCAAATCAGCCTCCCTGCGCTCAGAAACTTGTCAACAAGCTCTGTCTCAAAAACACAAATCGCATTTCCACCCTTCCACTTCTGCAAGCTGTTGTCCCGACAAGCGGTGTAAATATCTTTTCACAAATAAACGACAAAAACATGGTGCCGGGCATCTGAGGGGGCCCCCGCTGTTGTCACGTTTCAAACATCTTACAGGGGGGACCACAAAACGCTGAAAAACGAAACTTTAGCATCAGGAGCAATTTCATCATCATCATCATCATCATCATCATCATCTGCATGTTCTACGATCTGGAAGTGCATGAGAACGTACAGCGGCGTAGCATGACGTATGTGTGCAAGAGCATTAGAACGTACAGCGGCGTAGCATGACGTATGTGTGCAAGTGCATGAAGTATGTGTGCAAGTGCATGAGAACGTACAGCAGCGTCGCATGACGTATGTGTGCAAGTGCATGAGAACGTACAGCAGCATAGCATGACGTATGTGTGCAAGTGCATGAGAACGTACCGCAGCGTAGCATGACGTATGTGTGCAAGTGCATGAGAACGTACAGCAGCGTCGCATGACGTATGTGTGCAAGTGCATGAGAACGTACAGCAAATGACGCTATTATCCCACCCCACCCCACACCCCCCACCCCCCTCGTCTATGATGTTGTTTTTAGTGTAATGTCAGAAACTGACAACAGCGGGGGCCTCCTCAGATGCCCGGCACCAAAAACATGACATAGGAATGGGTTGCATGTCTTTGCTCCCGAAAGTGTCCACCAAAGCTTTCTTGTTTTGTGCTCTCAATTGCTCACTGTGTTCGGCAACAAATGCCGTGACCCTGGCAAAACTCCGCTCCAGCCGGGGCAAAAAAGCCACCGACGTGTCGCAAAGCACCAACTCCCAATCTCCCAACACATCGCTTTCTTCAACTGTCAGCAACTGAAAGTCACGAACAAAAAAGTTTTGGGCCCGCATCCACCCACTCTGCATAGCTATGTGCTTGATTGCTCATGACAACTTCCCGGAAGTTCTTCTTTTGCAGCTCCGCAATTTCATCTGCAAGCGTTGCAAAAAATTCTTGTACACAAACCAATGCTGCCGCACGACGCGCACTCGCTGCTTCACCATCTGCTGCGCTCACTTTGCATAGCTTTTCTTCCCACACGGCCATGGCTTCAATTTGCTCTGGTGCCAGTTCGTCACTGTAGCGTTCCAAAACTACCCGGGCAAAAGTCGACATCGGAAATTGTGAGTGAGCAAGCTGTAAGTTCTTAGCTCCTATTTTTTCACAGCTTCCCCTCGCAGCGTGAGAAGCGAATCAACACGCTTGCAGCATCTTTGGAGACGGGGCAGAAAAGCCACAGCCTCCACATCGCAAAGAATAAGTTCCCAATCTTCCAGCATGTCTCTTTGCTCAACTGTCAGCAAACGATAGTGACGGAAAAAAGTTTTTGGCTTGCATCCACTCTACGTAGCTCTTTGCCTGATTTCTCATGACCACATCCCTCAAGTTCTGCTTTTGCAGCTGCACAATTTCAGCTGCAAACTTTGCGAAAAATTCTTGCGCCCTCGCAAGTGCTTGCGCACAAGTCCGGCTAGCTCTTTGTTGGGCTTCTGCACCGATCCGACACACTTCGGCTTCCCACATCGCAATGCTTTCCTTGTGCTCTGGTGCATAGCGCTCCAATAAAAGCAAAATGAAAACGGCCATGGGATTGCTTTTCACCTCTCTGCTGCGTAGCACACCCCGGAAGGTTTTGGCTCCAAGCTGCGGAATGGTTGCAGCCTTTTGCAACAAAAAATGATGACCGCGGTCAAAGAAACTGTCCATGCAGGACAGAAAAGCATCCGGCATCCGCATCCAATCTCGACATGGCAGAAAGAACAAATTCCCAGTCCTCCAATAGCTCTGGCTGCTCTGCCGCCAATGTAGCAACCTTGCGGAATGTAGCCACCTTGCGGTGTCAAAAGTTTCTTGCTGCGTTCCACTCCTTGACCTGGCTGGCACGATTACTTTGGAGCAGCGATTCCAAAGTTGGTTTCTGCAACTGCACGAGCTCTTCGCAGTAAGTTGCTAGAAATGCTACGGTTTTGCTGAAACCATCCGCCATGGCACCGATCGTGCAGCTAGTGGTAGAGGACAGAAAAGACACACCATTGCCAGCTGACGAGCAAAATGACTACAGGTGGAGGACAGAAAAGTCACACCACTGCTAGCTGACTAACAAAATTGGCCACAGAATGAAAATTGTTTGGTTGACATGCATTGTCAATACGAATACCATACGATTCCTTGAGCACTCTAACATTGGCAAAAGAAATTGATAAATTAATGGTGAACCTCTGTTGGAACTGGCCATCCACATGCGTTGCGCTGGCTTCTACATAAACATCTGTTGCCTTGCATGTTCGATCTTTTCTTGTTTCGACTGTGATGCCATCAAAACCCATGAGCCAAGAAATGCGTCCGGATCAACCTTTTCCATACCCGTGTTTGGAATAGCTTCCACTGAGTAAGCGGTCAACTTGTTGATAGCTCCTTATTTATTTCAAAACTTGTGAGAAACAGGGTTTCGTGCTGCTTCCTCCACATCTCCCTTCCTTGATTGCTTGGTGACTTTCTCCTCTTTGCCTTCAGTTGTGCAACTCTGCATTCAAATTTAGCAAACCAACAATCCAAACAAGTGACAGAGGAACTTCAGTGCTGCAAACTTCGAAGTCATGTGCAGTTTTTCACAGTTGTTTGCTGGCGTGTTTTGGATTGTGGCGAGTTGATGCTTATACAACAACAGCTTGAGCATTTTTCTTGTGGTGCATTTCAATTTGTGAGGAAAATTTTACAGTGGAACTTCAGTGATTATCTTGTGCTTGTGACGCATTCTGGCTAGGGAGGGTGGTGGGACACCTCTTAAACAGGAGGTTGTTTCGCCGCCTCCCACCTCTCCCTGGCGAAACTTTCTTCAGCACAGTGCTTCTGGCCTGAACAGTCCAATTTATATGGCACATCTGTAACTTAGAATGTGGCTTTGGAAACCGCCGCCCCACCGGAGAAGCCAAAACTCACGTTTTGGGCACCTTCTACTTTTGAAATAATCTTCCCACCACGCTATGTGCGAACGGTTTGACACTTAGAATGATGCAAAAACATCATCAAAAAATTCTGCACCGGTCAATTTTTTTGATTTACTGATATTTAGAAGGTTTTCAACACTTAGAATGTGGTTTCTTCATGTTTCTCCGGGAACAATAGGGGAAAAACAGGGAAATAATAGGGAACAATAGGGGAAAAATAGGGAAATAATAGGGAACAACTAGGGAAATAATAGGAAAATCATAGGGAAATAATCTGGTTATATGCTTGTAATGCTGAAAGTGGTGACCCTTCACAGGTTTTGCCATCTTTCTGGTATACCACCATACCATACCATATCCTTATCCCAGGATCAATAATTACTATAAGTTTCCCCGTGTATTTCCCTAGTTGTTCCCTATTATATCTTGCAAAGACAGTTGGAACCACTTTTTTGGGCTGCAAAAATGTTGCAATTCAATTTGTATGTTTTTGCAGGTTTCATACATTTAGCATGACCGTCAAAAGGGTAGCAAGTGGATGAACAAAAAAGTGAGAATAATCTGGAAGGGTCATCATTTTTGGGTTTCGATAGTCGTTTTTTGGGAAAATGTCATCAAAAAACAGTGAAATCTAGAATTTTGGTGGGAAATCAAATTATGTGTATTTTTCGAAGGGTTTCAAACATTTAGCATGACAGTCGAAACAGAGTCATTCTAAGTGTCTAAGTTTATCGTTTTGGAAACCAGGGAGGCATATGGGACAATAATAGGGTAAAATAAGGAAATTATATATAGGGAAATAATAGGGCAAAAATTATATATAGGGAAATTATATATCAAGGACAAGATGCCATTCCTCTGGCGTCTGTGTGGCTGTGTCGTCAGCCACCTTGACGCCTTCCCCAACCAATCCCACGATCAGCAGGAACGCCATGTGAAAGCGCAGCAGCATGGCCACTGACAATCAGCTAGTTCGAGAGCTTGGGGGCAGCGGCCGGCACTGCTGAGCCAACCAAAAGCGGTTAGACCAGGGTGCGACCACAGGGTTGCTTTGTGTCTTACAAAATGGCTCTCCCATTTTTCACAGTTTTTTGGACTATGTTAGCCCAAAATACTTGATGTTGGTGGGCAGGTGGTGTACCCTGGTGCCACCATTTTGTAGGCAGCAACCCCCATGGGCGCTACCATTTTGTAGGTGTCCCAATACCATTTTGTAGGGAGGTAGGCTGGGCACCCTACACTTTGGTAGGCCCAACCTCTCGGGGCGAATTTCAAGGGGGATGAAAGCTAGATGTTTTTTTAAATGACTTTCAAGGGCCCTCCAGAACCATCCAGAACAAACAATCTGTCTACAAAATGGAAGGGCGCCATCACATCCACAAGCATGATCCCCGTTGACATTTCCCATTTAAAATGGTAGGCCTTGGTCCCCCTATAAATCAGATTTTATGTTTTTTTTTTTGTGCCGTCGGGGCACTCCATTTTGTAGAAAGAGACCTGCTTATACACACCCAACATCACTTTATATGAGAACAAGATCATATGCCAGTGTCAGGCACCTCCATTTTGTAGAAGATTTGGAATACCATTTTGTAGATGGGTACGGGGAGTTGATAAATACATCCACAAATGTAAATATATTTGAACACAAAAAAATATCAACCGCTTTTGGTTAACAGAGAACCAGTGCTGAATGAAGCAGGAAACCTATGGAAGCCTAAGTATGTCTCCCACCTGCCCATCAACTTCAAGTATTTTGGGTTAACATAATGTCCAAAAAATGTGAAAAATGGGAAAGCTAGATGTTTTTTTTTTATGACTTTCAATGGCCCTCCAGAACCATCCAGAACAAACAACCTGTCTACAAAATGGAAGGGCGCCATCACATCCACAAGCATGTTCATGATACTCTGGCACTACCATTTTGTAGCTGGTTCATGCTGGTTCAAGACATATTTTGTAAGAATCTCGGGTGCCAAGCTACATGGGTTTGTTGGAGGGGATTGCGGTGGCTGCCTTTGCAATAGGCTTGGCGATGGGGATCCTACTTAGAAAGTGTGTCTGCCGACCATGTGGATTTTGTGGTGGAGATGATCGCAAAGTTTTCAAAGCCTCCAAAATTTTGAAACCAGCCCCGGTCCAGAAAAAAAACGCGATGACCACTACTTCGGTCCAGTCTATCTGACTACTTCTGTTGGACGATACTTTATGAAACCCGATTGCCAGATGCACAAAATGCAAAAATGTGAGATATGCAAGGATTGCTTGAGAGATTTTAAGAAGAAATTTCATTCAAGGTAAACGGTCTACAAATTGGTCGCCCAAAAAAGACTAGGGTGCGACCACAGGGTTGCTTTGTGTCTTACAAAATGGTTCTCCCATTTTTCACAGTTTTTTGGACACTATGTTAACCCAAAATACTTGATGTTGGTGGGCAGGTGGGGTACCCTGGTGCCACCATTTTGTAGGCAGCAACCCCCATGGGCGCTACCATTTTGTAGGTGTCCCCATACCATTTTGTAGGGGGATAGGTTGGGCACCCTACAGAATGGAGCTCTCATCGTCTCGGGGCGAATTTCAAGGGGGATATTTTTCCCCTATTGTTCCCTATTGTTTCTATTATTTACCTATTATTTCCCTCTTAGTTCCCTATTTTTGCCTTATTATTTCCCTATATATAATTTCCTTATTTTACCCTATTATTGTCCCATATGCCTCCCAGGTTTCCAAAACGATAAACTTAGACAGTTAGAATGACTCTGTTTCGACTGTCATGCTAAGTGTTTGAAACCTTGAAGAATACACATAATTTGATTTCCCACCAAAATTCGAGATTTCACTGTTTTTTGATGACTTTTTCCCCAAAAAACGACTATCGAAACCCAAAAATGATGACCCTTCCAGATTATTCTCACTTTTTTGTTCATCCACTTGCTACCCTTTCGACTGTCATGCTAAATGTATGAAACCTGCAAAAACACACGAATTGAATTGCAACACTTTTGCAGCCCCAAAAAAGTGGTTCCAACTGTCTTTGCAAGATATAGTAGGGAACAACTAGGGAAATACACGGGGAAACCTTTAGTAATTACTGATCCTGGGATAAGGGTATGGTATGGTATGGTGGTTTACCAGAAAAATGGCAAAACCTGTGAAGGGTCACCACTTTCAGCATTACAAGCATATAACCAGATTATTTCCCTATGATTTTCCTATTATATATTTCCCTATTTTTCCCCTATTGTTCCCTATTGTTTCTATTATTTACCTATTATTTCCCTCTTAGTTCCCTATTTTTGCCTTATTATTTCCCTATATATAATTTCCTTATTTTACCCTATTATTGTCCCATAAGCCTCCCAGGTTTCCAAAACGATAAACTTAGACAATTAGAATGACTCTGTTTCGACTGTCATGCTAAGTGTTTGAAACCTTGAAGAATACACATAAATTGATTTCCCACCAAAATTCGAGATTTCACTGTTATTTGGGAAAATGTCATCAAAAAACAGTGAAATCTAGAATTTTGGTGGGAAATCAAATTATGTGTATTTTTCGAAGGGTTTCAAACATTTAGCATGACAGTCGAAACAGAGTCATTCTAAGTGTCTAAGTTTATCGTTTTGGAAACCAGGGAGGCATATGGGACAATAATAGGGTAAAATAAGGAAATTATATATATATAAAGGGAAATAATAGGGCAAAAATAAGGAACTAAGAGGGAAATAATAGGAAAATAATAGAAACAATAGGGAACAATAGTAGGAAACATAGGGAAATAATAGGGAACAACTAGGGAAATAATAGGAAAATCATAGGGAAATCATCTGGTTATATGCTTGTAATCAGTAGTTGGTCATGCTACATGTATGAAACCTGCAAAAACACACAAATTGAATTGCAACAATTTTGCAGCCCCAAAAAAGTGGTTCCAACTGTCTTTGCAAGATACAATAGGGAACAACTAGGGAAATACACGGGGAAACTTATAATAACTATTGATCCTGGGATAAGGGTATGGTATGGTTTGGCGGTTTAC